TAGCTTTGGACGAGTGTGTTTGTTCACGCGTTCAGTCTCTGTGCTGGTTCATTGTTGAGACAAGGTACGAGGTAGGGATTGGTAAGTCGTGCGTCGCTCACCCAAGGGTATCACTAAGGAGAAATACGGGACACCGCCGTGTACAGGTAAGATGTTTATCCCCCACGTATATGTTTTAACTGTTCATTTTTATGTTTTACTTTTAACATTGTCATCACTTTGTAGTGTTCATGAAATGAAGGCAAAGCGTAGGTTACGCAGATTTTCTCCAACGGTGTTTCGCTGTAGACAAACATACTTCCGTGTAACGAAGATACGGGTTCTGAGGTGAGATGTTCTTCACAGTCCCAACGGATGCTGTTTGCTTCATTATGGAATACTGTAAGAGACGATTACAATCTGTGGAAACAAGTTAAATGTGAAAAAAGTACGAGAATGCAAGATCGCAAGGACGGGAGATTTGTCCAAAATCTCGAGGGCTCGCGATCTCATTTTTACCACAAGCCGAGAATGCGATATTTTGGACATAATGTAAGTAAGTATCACGTTCTTGCATTCTCGCATCTTTCGCGTATTCAGACGGCTTCCAAAGGCCGACATCGCGAAAACGGGAATATGATCCTTACATTGTTCTGTATACACATGATGGCGTCCCTCGAGATTAAATCCATGTCAGTTACCCGTCCCTCGCCAAACCTTGCATCTTTCCGTAACCACAAAGAACAGTTGGCTGTGTGTGTATGACATAGGGCAACGTGTCGACCAGCATACCAGCATTACCAGCATATTGTTACAATGTTTTTTTACAGTACTATGGCACCGATAGTGACCATATACCTTGCTGCTATTTTTTTGCATTACAAAGGTTATCTCAAAGCACATGACTTATCACAGATAAGGGTGAATTTCAGTTGCATTCTCAGCTCGGTAGGGAGTATTCAACCCTTGCCGCTGAGCACTAGAAGGTCCTGCTTACACAACACCTTTATTGTCCTACCTGGTACCCATTCACTGCAAGGTGGAGAGTAGCAAAGATGGAACCGTCTCTTGTCTGAGCGGACATTACGATGCATCGTAACCTGTGTTTCGAATTAATTTCATATTTTTAACTTGTAGCATAACTTCCTGTGTGGAGTAGCGTCCAGAAACCCATGTTTGTGGGTTCGAATTCCGGTTAGACCAGATAATGTTCCTAGGTTGTCATCACAATATTCGTGCTCGTGAGTTTCAGTAAACGTCTGAGACCTGTATCACTTCGGACGTTCCTCCAACATCAAGCTGACACGCCGTGATGGAATACTGTTTAAAGCGGCTTTACATCTAACTCATTCAGTCCGACTAAGGCTAGAAGCGAGGAGCTTATGTGCATTACATTATTGTTCTTAAGAGATCTAACTTGAAGAAGATGAAATTCGAAAATATGCTCTGCATAAAAAGGAAGGCAAAAGTAGTAAAATCGTAAATATCTGACAGAGTGTTGCCGACATTGATACGAAATTAACATAAAAATGTATTGGTCATTTCTGCACGGATTGGGATTGATTTGTGTGGAAAGAATGAGGTACTGCAGAAACTTATCGGACGTTTTCTCTAAGTACAAAGGACGTTTTCTCTAAGGCGGCGGCCGTTTCCTTCTAATTGACCAGCGGCCGTTTTTGCGGGCGGACGTTGTCTCCAGTTCCCAAACTAAACATACACTGTCATTGACACAAACCTGGAAGTAGAGCCCGCACAGACTTCTTCATACTTCAACAAGTCGACAATCCTTCCCAGGAACTGATAGTCTGAAACATGTTTACAATTAAAACTATGAGCATAAATATTATTTATGTCGAAACGGCATTTTGCAATAATGCATTTCTTGTGGCAAACATCTTTTTTTATTCGATGGCCTGGAGCATAATTATTTTTAAACATTTTCTTAGACAATATATTTTTTGCGATTTCTTAACAGGCGACATCAGTCGAAGGGTTAAATGAATTGGAGCCAATAATGTTCCACTTACAGTAGATCATCAATGGAAATGTTTACACACTATCCTAGTCTAATAATATATTTGGAATTAAAAAACACAAAACAAACGATTCTGGAATTTAATTTTCTTTACATTTTGAAGGAAATCTTTCAACTGTGAAGGATTTGGGAGTGGTTTGAGTGGTTTGTAGAGCTGGCGATGTAGGACGTGTTGTATCCAAGTGGTCGCTTGTCCTTGTGTACCTAAAGAAAGTAATCTATATATCATTTTCGTTTTCAATTCATCTTGTCCAACTACTATTTACCTTTCTTCGTGTTTATATACCGTAAATCCCCATTAAAATATCCTCCTCCCGAAAACGTAAACGAGAAACTCCGAGTTCATGTGATGTAATTCCAGTATTGTTTGTTGAAAATAGCAATATTTGTACATTCCACTCATTTAATGTCTTAAGCTTTACAACGCAAATAAAATCTTTGACATCAGGATCACTGACGCGTAGCATGAAAACATTAAATTAATTTTATATATACACAACGAATGATGTAAAATTTATTTTTTAAATCATATTCGGCAAATTACAAAATAGCTGTAGAAGAAAACGTAATCTTATTAAGGTTTCTTAGTCTCTATAAATTTGGAAACTAATACGGTATCGGTCTGGACTGGTTTCAAGTTAAATGTTTGTCTTATGGCGTTGTTATCAATGAACACTATCGTGAATTAACATTACCGTAATATAACTTCCTGCTTCCTAATCAAGAGAGCATAATGACAGGACAGAATAAAGAGAACGATTTAGGCAATATAAACATATATTTAACTTACTCGCTGATTGCCGAAGATCTATGTCCTGCCCTATCAGCGATCAGCTGTTCGTCTGTGGCAGACTCGTTTTAGCGATTCTTGAAAAATCCCTCAAATTCAGCCATTTCGAAGAGCCGCCTCACCAGGCCGGACAGGGGCCACTTCCTCAAGCGGTCTTAGCGCTACGACCATTGTAAGCCTATGTGAGTCACGATCATCTTAGCGCTAAGATCGCTTTGTCCAAGACGGCCCAAGTGTGACTACGGAGTAGTACCACGTGTCGGGGTACATTTCTTGAAAACAAACTAAAACAGATGTTCCTGAAATGCAAGTTGAGCAGACATACGCTAATGTGACCTCTCTTTTTGGGAAAATATTTTATTTCCGCGATACAACGGCTTGTTGTATGGCTGTCGGTGTAAACAAGAGGGCATACCTATAGATCTAGCGCTACATCCCGCGATGTATAAAATAGTGATATAGAAATTATAAGAATTGACTTTCACTTTATGTACGCTCCAACGTTCATACAGTTTGGCCCTCACTCTATGAGGTTCATACTCCAATGAACTTAAATGAGACGCAACATGCTGCATTTGTAATTCGTTTCAGATCTTTAAATGCGTCATAAAAAGAGCTTCATGTCCCTCCTGTGAAACCAAACAGAGGGCGGCGTATACTTTCGTCAACAGTGCAGTTCGCCTACAGGGATATCAAAACAGTTTTAGGCATGACTGTATGCACCCGTGCGTCGTCTACATTTTCCCACAGTGCATTTTGCTTTCATTTGAGCAAACAGTTAGCTCAATAATATATATATATATATTATTGAGCTAACTGTTTGCTTGGTTAACTGGAGTCCTGATATAACTAATAAGAAACTCTGTCTAATTATGCTAATCGAGGAAGTGCATTATACTAGATGACAAACTTAGTAATCCTGTCACACTAATCCTTGATTACAATGAACGCATGTCAATTGACTAAACGAACATCCTTTTTATATTCTTAAGTAGAAGTATCACAATGGACAGTGCATACAACTGTTTGTCAAACAATATCTAACAATATTTTAGATTTAGAATCACCATAACATGAAAAAACCCAGAAAAACTTATATATTAAATTGTATTTATTCATATTCGGCGGTATTCATAATATATTTGTTTAACTGTTATTGTTTAAAACTACTCTAAACTACTCGAATGTATAGATCATCTTTTTGTAAACAGGTGGCGTACGTATTATATATATATATATATATATATATATATATATATATATATATATATATATATATATATATATATATATATATATGGATATATCAAATCTGCAAAATTGCATATTTTTGGAAATAGCAAATATACAAAATTGTATATTTGGGATATATTGGATACAGTTTTAGGCATGACTGTATGCACCCGTGCGTCGTCTACATTTTCCACAGTGCATTTTGCTTTTATTTGAGCAATCAGTTAGCTCAATAATATATATATATGTATATATATATATTTATATATATATATATATATATATATATATATATATATATATATATATATATATATATATATATATATATATATATGCCACCAAGGCAGCTAGCATCAGTGGAGTGTGTGAGCAACTGGAGAAGGGCGAGCAACTCGATGTGATTTATGAATTTGTGGAATTTTAATAAATAAACGTTCGCAGTCGAACATTGAACACATAGAATCGCAGAATCTTCTATCGTACATTTGAGGGTGAACGGGAACGAAGCCGTGTGGTATATTGTATATTTTTGGATATATCAAATCTGCAAAATTGCATATTTTTGGAAATAGCAAATATACAAAATTGTATATTTGGGATATATTGGAACTTCCCCTTGTGGTTGTTGCAGTGTCGGAGTGTTCCGTTAGATACTGCTTTGTTTACGGGAACTTGTCCCGAATATGAGTCGGTAAAGCAGTGGGTGATGAATTTAGCCCCAGAAATGGCTTCTACGGAGGTCAAACAATCGGTGCATCCTTACACAGCAAGTACTTACACTATCCAATAGGACACCCAACCATCCTCTGCGCGCCCCCTTTAGCACGGTTATTTGTAAGTCACGGTGTGGTAGAGTGCAGGATTCCTGTACCTTCCATTCTTACCGTACAACCGTTGGTACAACACCTACAATAAACTGTACCTCCGGCTGTGTCGAACGTGCGTTGATATGTGATAATGATGTCCTGTCCCCATGACGACGATGAGCAGGACAGGGACATGCTGTTCAAGATTGTGGCTACAGGGACATGCTTTTCAAGAGTGTGGCTTCCGGGACATGCTGTTCAAGAGTGTGGCTACAGGGACATGCTGTTCAAGAGTGTGGCTACAGGGAAATGTTGTTCAAGAGTGTGGCTACAGGGACATGCTGTTCAAGAGTGTGGCTACAGGGACATGCTGTTCAAGAGTGTGGTTACAGGGTGTTGATGCTCGTGAAGATCCGGTTAGAACTTATCTACAGCAACTCATGCTTGACGCAAGAGGCGACCTTGCACCGAAGACTAACGGCAGGAGGTGTTCAGAAAGAAGGGCATTATGCCCGACCCCGCTCAAATAATCTGGCAGAATGAGCCATCAGCAGGTCTCTTCTATAAATTAGTGGGGAAAGGTATCACAGCGCAACAAAATATAGATAGATGCGTTTGTGACAGAGCGTCCTAATTTATAAAATATGTTCCGGATGTTATGTATGTTATATACACGAAGCAGTATTGTTCATTACACATGCTTCAACAGAAATGTCCTAGCGAGGCAGGTCACGACTCGGGCCTGACTAACGTTGTACAGTGAAATAAAGCTGCTACAAGATGCTTGGACATCATCGCAGAGAGCATAATTTATGCACAAAGACGGAGATGTCTGTTCTTCAATGGGCGATTCTTTTCAGGAATGGATCGACACACGAGTGAGAGAGTGAGTAGGGTTTAACGTCGCTTTGAACAGTATTCCAGTTTTATCACGGCGTGTCAGCTTGATGTGGGAGGAAAACGATGCACGTTTTAGACGTTTCATCACTTTGGTGAAACCCAGGAGCACGGGTATTGTGATCAAAATCATAACCGGGTCGAACCGGGATTCAATAGGCTTCTTGCGTGCCCACTCCTCATAGCGAATTGCCGCTCTTGCCCAGACAGACGAGTTAAATAAGTCAATTGGATTGAGGAAATTACTACGTGCGGACCAAACAATTACGCTTACAACTGAATTATATTAACAATCATTCCCGTGGCTATGAATCACAAAACATTGTCAATTGGTTTGATATTGCTAATACTTAAACTTATGATCGTTTTATATATTGTTGATGGGTGAATAAACAATGGGTTAGAATCATTGATTTATCGTATCATTCACCACTTTTATCACTTTCCATGATTGGGTATTTTTGTCAGTATTTGCATTTATACTAATATCCTATTTACATCTATAAAAATAGTATATGTAACACCTATTATGATATTCTGTTACATCTGAAATAACATTCTAAGTACATCTATAATAATATTCTAATTACATCAATATTTACATCTATAATAATATTCTATTTACATCATCTAATACTATTCTATTTACATCCATAAAACTGTTCTATTTACATCTATGATAACATTCTATTTACATCTATAATTACATTCTATTTACATCTATAATAATATTATATGTAACACCTATTATGATATTCTGTTACATCTGAAATAACATTCTAAGTACATCTATAATAATATTCTAATTACATCAATATTTACATCTCTAATAATATTCTATTTACATCATCTAATACTATTCTATTTACATCCATAAAACTGTTCTATTTACATCTATGATAACATTCTATTTACATCTATAATTACATTCTATTTACATCTATAATAATATTATATGTAATACCTATTATGATATTCTGTTACATCTGAAATAACATTCTAAGTACATCTATAATAATATTCTAATTACATCAATATTTACATCTCTAATAATATTCTATTTACATCATCTAATACTATTCTATTTACATCCATAAAACTGTTCTATTTACATTTATGATAACATTCTATTTACATCTATAATAACATTCTATTTACATCTATAATAATATTATATTTAACACCTATTATGTTATTCTATTACATCTGAAATAACATTCTAAGTACATCTATAATAATATTCTAATTACATCAATATTTACATCTCTAATAATATTCTATTTACATCATCTAATACTATTCTATTTACATCCATAAAACTGTTCTATTTACATTTATGATAACATTCTATTTACATCTATAATAACATTCTATTTACATCTATAATAATATTATATTTAACACCTATTATGATATTCTATTACATCTGAAATAACATTCTAAGTACATCTATAATAATATTCTAATTACATCAACAATAACATTCTATTTACATCTATAATGATATTCTAACTTTATCTATAATGACATTCTATTTACATCTATAAACTGTTCTGCTTACATCTATAATACTGTTCAATGTACATCTATAATGACATTCTATTTACATCAATAAAAACTTTCTAACTACATCAATAATGATGTAATTATATTTTCCCCTCTAACACTATTTTATTTACATCTATAATTCCATTCTATTTACATCTATAATAACATTCTATTTACATCTATAATAACAATCTATTTACTTCTATAATAACATCCAATTTACTTCTTTAACAATTTTATATTTTTATACATCTATTATGATATTCTAACTACATCAATAGCAATATTCTATTTACATCTATTATAACAATTTATTTACATCTATAACATTTTATTTACATCTATAATAATATTACATTTACATCTATAATAATATTCTATTTACATCTTTAATAACATTCTATTTACATATATAATAACATATTATTTACATATATAATAACAATCTATTTACATTTATAATAACATTCTATTTACATCTATGATAACAATCTATTTACATATATAATAACATTTTATTTACATCGATCCTAATATTATATTTACATCTTTAACAACATTCTATTTAAATCTATAATAACATTTTATTTACATCTATAATAATATTATATTTCTACACACCTATTATGATATTCTATTAACATCTACAATAATATTGTATTTACATCAATAATAATATTCTACTTACCTTACATCAATGATAATCTTCTATGTACATCTATGATATTGTTATATTAACATCTATAATAATATTATATTTATATCTGTTATGATATCCAGTAGATTTGAATAACATCCTATTTACATCTTTAATAATATAATATTTACATCTTTCATGATATTATATTTACATTTATTATAATATTATATTAACATCTGTTTTGATATTCAGTACATTTCAATAACATTCTATTTTCAGCTGTTAGGATATTCAGTCCATTTCAATAATATTCTATTTACATCTATAATAATATTCTATTTACATCTATAATGATATTCTATTTACATCTATATAACATTCTATTTACACCTATATTAGAATTGGGCGGTGTTTCCATATTGTATGCAAATGCTTGTAAATGTGTGAAGGAAGGAAAGAAATATATATCATTCAGTCGAGGTCGGTCAATCTTGCTATATGTGAAAACACTGAGCGATAATTATTTATTTATTTCATGGATATAGACAACACGTGTGTATACGAGGCGTGGGAAATTCATTTATTTGGTTTTAAATAAGAGTTACACGATTATGCTGATAAAACCAACATGTGCAAGACAGCATGTGTCGACGACAACCACAGATGGTAATGTATTCCATTCCCGCTGTGAAATGGCTTTTAACTCTATTTGTAGCGATGATATTGAGAAATTCTCCAATGTCGTTAACTCGTGAGTCTTACTTCATAGAGTCAATCGCTTTGAAGTTGATGGGCTAATTGCCGTGTATCCACCTGCTGCCACACTCCGTTGACCATTAAAGATTTGCCAACACCTCGGTGTGTGGGTATTCCAGGTGGGGAGTCCGGTGTTGTGAAACAAGAGGGGGAGAGCACAGTATTGAACACCGACTGTTACAGTTTATGTCATACCGAGAAATAGACAAACCTGCGCCGTGTAATACCTTCAGTGTATTAAACACATTTCTGTCATCGGCTGTTTCCATCGGTGAGTAAAATTCGTGTACAGGAGATGTGGGTTGACATGGTATTGAAAAGGGTGAAGGTGAATGAAATACGCAGAAACGATAATTGGTTTTGATTACAGAGATGGAAGTTTACAATACAATTACAATATATACATTTACAGCGCGTAGAGATCACTGACATGGTTCCCATAAAGGATTGTCAGTCGATAACCATGCAAACAACTCTTTGTCAGAGGCGACGCTATAGCAGCTGTTTCGTGAGACTTCTGATTTAGTGGCATGGGCTACTCCTTAAAAATACTTCAATCTACTTCGTAATAGGTCATAAAGCTAATCAAAGCCCTAGCAACTGGAAGTCAAGTCCATCTTTACAAAAGATACGTTCTAGGCTGAAGGGCAGTCGAGATGCGTACATGACAAGGGGAGGTTGCCCGTGGTAACTTTCCTGACACAGATGTTGGCGTGTGTTTTATCCAGACTGAATTACAATGTACGCTCGAAAGTGACCATTGTCAAGACCGAATATCCCCGGCCGCCTCATACCAAAGGACGTTAAAAGACGTACTTCTTGTTACCCTGCCTGACGCTCGGCAGTAAGGGGTTAAAACAAGGACTGTTCGGCTCGGAGTCAGTATGCTGGCTAAGTAGGATATTTATGTTAAGGGGCGGAGCGTAGCCTAGTGGTTAAGCGTCACGAGGAAGACCCGGGTTCGATTCCCCATATGGGTACAATGTGTGAAGCCCATTTCTGGTGTACCCCGCAATGATATTGCTGGAATATTGCTAGAAGCGGCGTAAAATCATATTCACTCACTCACTCATGTATGTTGAACTGCTGCATGGTATCTTAGTTGGCGAACACTACTAAAATCGGCGTTAGTCCGAGCTAGTAGAAGCTTACACACACACACTGACGCACGCACACACGCACACGCACGCACACACACACACACACACACACGCACGCACGCACGCACGCACGCACGCACGCGCACACACACACACACACACACACACGTGCGACCGCCTCCGTGGTCTTGTGGTAGAGCGTCCGCCCGGAGAGCGGAAGGCCCATTGTTCGATCCCGGGCCGCGTCATACAAAAAGACGTTAAAAGATTGTACTTGTTGTTACCCTGTCTGGCGCTCGGCATTACGGGGCTTAAACAAGGACTGGTCGGCTCGGAGTCAGTATACTGTGTCTGAGTGGGGTATTCATGTTAAACTGCGGCATGGTATCTCAGTGAGCTAGCACTATAAATCGGCATCAGTCCGGACTAGTACAAGCAGCCACACACACACATACACGTGCTCGCACGTCGCTATATAAGTGCAATAATCTTGGACGCGACGTTAAACCCAATTTCACCTCACCTCACACACGTGCATGCACGTCGCTGAGTACAATAACCTTCAACGCGACGTTAAGCCCCATTTCACCCAACCTATGTACAACCTGTAACAATATGAATACGTGTTTGTATCGTTATCCTATCTTGTAGTTGTCCGATTTTCGATCACAAACGTTGATACTACTTCTACTTCATTTCGTTTATCCGACATACTCGTTAATCCATCCGACATAATCATATGCAACCAGCCATGTCGGATTAACAGAACTTGACTGTATGTATGCATAGAGCCGTGCGGCAACAGTAAGATTAATCTCCCATGGTTAGGCGGTAACATAGAACCATATCTGAATATAATTCGATGTATTTCATTATGAACAGACAAACAAACATGAGCGTCAAGGATTTTGAATTGCGAAAGTTGACTCGAACGACAACCCCCACACGGAACAGGGAGATTATATAACTTCTTCATCTATTAACTTCATCAACAGATATGTATGTTTATACGATAATTTTCTAATATATGGATGAGCTTATATCGTTCACTAATGGTCAAGGGGCATGTGTGGCTGTGAAGAGTTGCGTCCCCTGGACACGCCAGAAACATATGATTGTGGGTTCGAATCCCTGTTCGCCCCGATAATGTGTCTAGGTTTGTCAGCACCATTACCGTGCTCGTGGGTGTCCCCGAAGTGGTAAACGTCTGGGACTCTCCTCCCACATTAAGCTGACACGCCTTCATGTAACTGGAATACTGTTCCAGTTGGCTCATTTCTGTTATTACTTGATCTATCAACCATTAGACCTGTGAAGATAAAAAACCATGGATATGTAATAATGATATGTTCCAATTAATACTGGAAGTACATGTCAAAATGTATTCACCGAGAGCACCGAGAGCATTATTGTTAAACAGAACGTTTCGACTCTCACATCGGCATATATTTGAACTCATCACCCATCACATAATTGACAATCATCAATGAAGAGCTATGAAATCAGAAGCTGTTACAGTTTAATTTAACAGGATATCATTTACTGAGTATGTTAGGTTTCTTTGTTATAATTAGGTTTTATATGCATGAATTACAGATTAAAAGAAATTAAAAAACGTAATTCGTAAATTTCGAAAAACCTTATTGACAAACGTTATGAATGCATATGTGGTGATTACCTGTGTTCAGTTAATGTTACAGTAAGGAAGCTGTATCCAACTTATATCCGCCGTAGTGGTAGGTATTTGACCGGATAATCTCTAAATTGAAAACAGAAGTCCGTCTGCGGGTTCTATTGGTCTTATTGTGCCCAGACATACTGTAACTGTCCAGACAAAGTGCTGCTCATATTCTTAGTAAGGTGAGACGGCCAGACCACGTGTAAAGCGACCAGAACTGGGATAAATACCATAGAGAATTATATGTGTTGCATGCAACTATGCAACCATGTATTTAATTGATAGACAGAGCTGACCAATGGAAGCTAAGAAATAGAAATACTGGTAAACGCTGTCTACTGTCAATGTCAATCAAGAAACTGTAGAAACTTCCGATGTAAAATAACGACGTCATTTGGACGAAAGCCGATGGTTAGAAAGCATCCAGAAAACGTCGAGTTTTCGTTCAATGACCATATACGGAAAAAAACGACGTTTTCGTGTTTGCATGGCATAAGTATTGCCCCCTTTCTGGTTTAATCAAACGTTATTTCTATCATGAATTGGTATTGATATTTGGTTTTTTTATTTACAGGTGTGTGATCGACACACAAGCTATAAGAAAATAGAAGAACCATTGGAAGATTTTCAATAAAGCACATATTTGCTGATAGGACCATCAACGTTCAAATGTCCTGACCATCAAGGGTACTGTGACCTACTACAGAGTCAAATTAAAGATGGTTTTTTTACGAATGTTCATGAAATTTAAAGTGTCAAGGGCAGTTGTTGCTGTCATCTGTGCACAGGTCGTCTTCCTCCTGATAGTGCTAATCAGAATGACCGACACATCCACCAGAGTGCCTTTGAAAATTCCTGTCAATGGTTCAAAAATGGTTACATCTTTAACACAGCTTGTGTACTCGTTCAACACAACTAAACTGTTGGGGGCGTCAAAGTCGATGTCAAGTCTTAACAAAACCATTGATCATACATTGTATCCACACCGATATCTTGGTACGTCCTGTCACTTGAATACTACAAACAGATGGCTTCCTTTTGAACCTGGAGAAATAAGCCATCTCGATAAGTGGTATTCCTCAATAGATTACTTCTTTTCAATAAACAACACTGAACCACTGACTCTACCCGAAGACGACGGTCCTAATTTGTATAAAGATTATGATTTGAAAAAGCCATGGAAATTTACTCTTCCAGATCTTGGTAACGAGGATTTCACATTTATAAACGGAAAGCTAAAATGCTTTAAACCAGGAACATCCAAAGTGCAGGAGCAGGGTTCTAACGTGACCTGTGTGTGCAGCTCAGGTTATGCAGGGAAACATTGTTCTGTGCCAAGCATTGTGAAGACTGCCTTGTCCAAACTGTCACGCAGTTACATCATCACGCCAAGAGAAAAGCCACGACGGCTGATTCTAGTCATGACATTCAATATGGAGCACCATGTACTGATGCTGAAGATGTTACAGGTGCACTCAGCCGTGGATCTGTTTGTGATTCTGGAATCCAACTACACTGGACATGGAGATCCACGACCGTTAAGGTTATTACATAATTTGAGAAGAGGCTACATGAAGCGATTCCACCATAAGATAATGCATGTCCACCTGGACACATTCCCAGCTGGCGGACGATTGAATGGTTGGATAGCCGAAACATACATCCGTCAGCACCTTGCACCTGCAGTAGAGGCCAGAGTCTCAGGGCTAAGAAAAGATGATTTATTCGTATTTATGGACACCGACGAAACGCCATTTGTAAATCTCCTGCACTTCCTCAAACTTCACAATGGCTATCCCTTCCCAGTTGGGTTTGTTCTTCACAGTTTTATGTATGGATTCTTTTGGTCAATGACGAAGCACCCTAAAACGGTTGTAGGAGTGTGTAGTATTCAGATGCTCAGAGACATCTATAAAGGAAGTAGTGATGCAATTCGTGGAAGTAAAGCAGTGTTACGAAAGCTCCAGAAAGGAAATCACCCCTGGGGCATGTTTGAAACTTGGCTCATCGGTTCACCTGACAGCTATGCTGGGTGGCATGCATCATGGTTCTCCTCTCCAAGGGAGGTTATCACGAAGCTGACTTCTGCTATTAATGCTGACTTCCCCCGATGGGGGGACTACCCAGAGAAATGCACATTTGACTACGTTGCTACTCTGTTTAGAAAAGGGGAATATTTTGATGGAAAGAGACATTTCGATCCAATTTGCTTGACTGACATTTACGTATTGAAAGACCACCCTTACCTGTTCAAGCATAAAGAATACTTTAATTTCATGTTACAGAACCCAACAGCCATATGATACCATTGAATTATTTCTACAGCTCCCAGAAAAGCACATGTAAGCACAATAGTGTCGTATAACTGTATAATAATGAATTATATCGTTCGTTGATTTCTTACGATTGTATTCATTGGTTACTGTGCAATAAATCCTTGGTGAACTTATTCCCACCAACTGCGTTCAGTCAAAACCTAAAGAGTGAATCATGATCAAAATGCATTATATAGCAGACAATGGAACATACACGTTAGGCCTCACCCTTTAATCATTACTTAATAGCCATTAACCCTTTTGAGAATTTTTTTTTCTTCTGAAATCATCCAAGCAATGTTTCAGCTTCAAGGGATGGATGCACTGATGACGGACTTTGCGCTCGACGTTATCAAACTCACTCACTCACTCACTCACTCACTCACTCACTCACTCACTCACTCACTCACTCACTCACTCCCTCACTCACTCACACACTCACTAACTAAATATTTGAATGCTTTCACAATGATAAGACATGACCCACAATAGTTTTGTCTACAAATGTATGTCACGTCATGTCGACCTTCAAAACAAACTTTAAGTCAGATAAACCTTGACCTGATATTACAACTGCCGTCCATCCCACATTCCGGCAAATACTATCGCTCCCAACAAGCAATATGTCATTATGGTTGAGAATCATAGTTTATATGATATGTCTGGTCACTGGATAATTTCAAGTGACACTTTTTCCGGAATTCGTCCTGAAAAGAGGACGGAAGATGTTTGATTATGATTGCTGGAACAGCAAGATGGGGCTGGACATGCAGAACAAGTCCTGGTGGTATCACTCATTTCCAGTGATCTGTTCATCTTCACTGCATTTTGCCGTTTGCTCCCAATGGATTTTGTTTTGTAGGAAAGTCGTGACTAGTTATTCTCTTGCCTTGGCTTTCTATAATTACCCAAGCCATCACTGGGACGTTCAAGGTTTCATAAGCTGAATGAACATGAGTATGAAGTTCGAGGGGATGACACAAATGCTAAACTCGTAATATCCCTTGAACCCCTTAGTTTATACATGCGATGAGTTAATATTTATGAAGAGTTATTTTTTCTGCTAGTCGTCAACAAGATGGCGACTGCATGGCAAGAACCATGGACAGATTTTATGACGCTTATCGAATCCTAGAAATGAATCTGTAACAAAACCTGCTGGATGTATGCCTTTATGAACACCTTATAATTGACAGGTGCTATTTTGCCTCAACAAACAACACATCCGTGTTAAAACTCCTCGATGTACAACACACTCATGTAAGCACAATTCATAGTATAAACACTGACGTTTACATACTTCAGTATAAAACATAATTTGGTCAGCACAACTCGATGTACAACACACTCTCGTTAACCCGCCTGAATGTAAAACACACGCACGTCAGCATCCCTAAGATTTACAACTCTGTCATGATCATGCCACTGCGTCAAGGCACCAGAAGATCCTCACCAGAATGCCATCAAACTTGACAAAGCCACAATTCTCATCGGTATCACAGTCTGATACAATGTCCACGAGGCAGTGGACCAGTGAAGATCCTGAGTAGAATAGGTCTTCAGTAACCCATGCTTGGCGTAAGAGGCGACTAACGGGATCGGGTGGTTAGGCTCGTTGATGCATGTCATTATATCCCAATTGCGTGGATCGATGCTCATGATGTCAATCACTGGAGTGTCTGGTCCAGACTCGATTATTTACAGACCGCCGTTATATAGCTGGAATATTGCTGAGTGCGGCGTTAAACAACAAACCAACCAACCAACCCAATTGCATGGATCGATGCTCATGATGTCAGTCACTGGATTGTCTGGTCCAGACTCGATTATTTACAGACCACCGTCATATAGCTGGAATATTGCTGAGTGCGGTATTAAACAACAAACAAATAAACAAACAAAAGTCAAGTTGGACACATGGACCCTTGTACCTAGCACGTAACGGTAGACCAGGCACAAACACCAACATTTTATCACTGAAATTCCTCTCTTGTGACTTCTCTCCTGTTCTGATTAGATATGACATTTTTGTCATAGTGTACTTTCATTTTGTCCTGAGATTATTTTATATTATTCCTAGCAACTCACAAGCTTGATAAAAAGCCATGCCTGGAATGATACACATACTCCAACAAAGTCCTTTCAGAGCTATCATTGACCCAATGCTCCTTAAGTGATTTAAAGGTCCATGAACAGTGTGGCCAAAGACAAGGTCGAAAGGACTACAAGCTAAGGACTCCTACACTGACTCCAAAACAGCAAACAACAACAAATAAATGCCTTCATCCCAATCCTTCTCAGTCTCAAAACAGTAAATCCTCATCATATGAACTTCTCTTTGGCTCCCTGAGATTCGGGATGAGAGGCCCTAGACTTAAAATGAGCCATAAGTTTCCATAAAGTGATAGCTCCTTGAAACCTTGTGGCAGCACACATGAAAGTAAGCATGTACTGATTACCTGATCTAGTTTAGGCAAATGACCAACGCAATCAATGATTGCATGTGTTTCAAGGTTGCTGCTGAGATATCCTGATTAGATCTGCCAATCATTGGACATATGTGGAAGGTTTGTAAACTTCAGCCACGTCATGCCGCAAATTAGGCCCAAGTTTTGTTCACCCCAAATTAGTTTCTTGTGGCAAACTCAAAATATGTTTTTCCATATGAATTGGAAGAACAATTTGAAGAAAAACATCTCATTCATTATCAGTAGGAACATCTGGTGGCCTCGATTTCGTTATCAAACCGCTATCCTTGAAATAACAGCAAACTGGAACCTCGTCAGCTACGTCTAAAGAAAGTTGTGATATTTCAGTGCATATGCATAGTATTTCTTGCAAGGGGCTATGCTTTTAAAAAATTCGATGCAAGTGTTATGCACTTTGGGCGTATGTACTTGTATACTCTCGGCCTATTTACTTGTGTTTATGTCGAAATTAGGAGAATGCCCACTACAGTTGTACCTTCAAGTTTACCCTCGGCGTAAGTTCACAGTTGTGAGGTAACATGAAAATGTTCGCCGCCTCCTCTCACTGAACAATCTATGACATACACACACAAACATACACATACACAAACAAACACACACAAAAACACATACACTCACAAACACATATACACGAACAAATACACACATACACACACAAACACAAACACATACGCACACAAACACAGGCAAACACACACATACACACACAAATACACATACACACACATATGCACACACATACAAACAGACACACAAACACACACTACAGTTGTACCTTCAATGCTCCTATGCACCTGCGTTGTTCAGGGACCATATCGGTCAATCTTTGGAGGACGATACATGTCCCCAATGTGACCGGCTTCTCGGAGGCGACACCAAACTGTCGCACGAACTACCCGACCGCCCCATACAACGTTTCAGCTTCATACGATGGATGGACGGATGACTAACAACGAGCCTCGGCTTAAGTTCACAGTTGTGAGGTAACATGAAACTGTTCGGCGCCTCCTCTCACTGAACAATTTATGACATAAACACCCAACCATACACATACACAAACAAACACACACAAACACACAAACACAAAAAACACATACATACACACCCCGAGACACACACACACACACACACACACACACACACACACACACACACACACACACACACACACACACACACACACACACACACACACACACACACACACACACACACACACAAACGCACACAAACGCACACAAAGACACACATGCACACGCAAACACACGCATACACACAGAGGCACACATGCAATCATATAAACACACACATATGTACACATATAAACACATTCAAACACACACAACTACACGCATACACACATAAACATACATACACACACAAACACACGCACACATACACACATACATAAACACACACATACAAACACACGCATATACGCATACACACAAACACACGCAAACGAACTCACACATATACACGCATACAGACATATACACATATACACACTTACATACACACACAGACACACACATGCACTAACACACAAACACACACACACAACACATTAATACACACATATACACACAAACACATACACACACTCAAACATACACACACAAACACACACATACAAAAACACAACTACACACACAAACAAACACTCACACACATACACACACAGCGCGCACGCACGCACACACACACACACACGCACACACGCACACACACACACTGGAAAGTTAACGGCCTGTTCACTTCAAAAAATTAAATGGTTGGTTCTCACCCACGTTCCAATGGCATGGTTTTGACAAACAAGATTACAATCAGGGTTAGATAGTTGCATACTTTCTCATCGCAAAGAAAACATGAATCACAACAGTCTCATCTACAAATGTCTCTTTCTCATGTACAAATGTCATCTCGACCTACACAACCAGCCAACTTTATGCCAGATAAACCTTGACCCGCATGCGTTCCTCACCTGATATAATAGGACAACTGCCGTCAATCCTACATTCCGGCACACAATGCCGTTCTCAACAAGCAAGATGTCACTGTGTGTGGCAATCATAGTTTACATGTTGTGCCTAGTCACTGGTCAGTATCAAGTGACAATCTTTCAGGATTTCGTCCTCAAAGGAGGACGGAAGGTGTTTGATCCTGAACGCTGGAACGGCAAGATGGGGTTTGATAAGCCCAGCATCATCCAGTACGTGAAGAAAACTGGTGCCAGGGCTGCACGCTGGAACAAAGGAGATATTGGAGCCTTTGAGAAGGTAGATGGTGTGGTCATATTAAGTGTTCTGCTGCTGGTAGGGCAAGACATGCTTACCCTTTTCGCGAACACCCGTTGTTATCATTGATTTGTAGTAATCCATTCATATAATCTTCACCGCAATTTTGCCTTTTACCCCCAATGGAACATGTTTTGTGGGAACATCGAGACTGGTTATTCTTTAGTGTTGATGTTATATATTTACCGAGTAAGACTGGGAC